GTTCAAATTTCCAATTGTCTTATAAATGTTATAAATTTTTTTTTTCTTTTTTGAGACAGAGTCACACTCTGTTGCCTGGGCTAGAGTGCTGTGGCATCAGCCTACCTCACAACAACCTCAAACTCCTGGGCTCTTACTTTTTAAACCAGAGTTCTTTTGGGCATATATGAAGGTGTCTATGGTGTTTTATTTCAACAGACTACAATAAAAAAAGACTGGTTCAACTAGGGAAAATGAACTGTTTTCTCCCCTCCCCCAACAGGATGTAATTGACACAGCATGTGAAGTCCTGGCAGACCCTTCTCTTCCAGAACTGTTCTGGGGAACAGTAAGTATCTGAGAGAGGGTCAATGCGTGACATTCTCTGGAGCAAAAGAATTTATCAAACACTTGCTTTGTGATAGGTTCCATTTTTTATATGATGGCAAGCGATGCTTAGAGATGGGCAGTGATTTGCTTATCAAGGTCACAGACAGACAGGTTTTAACTGACTTGAGTCTGCAGCCCAAAGCATTAGCTAGTATGTTATCTGTCCTACCACCAAGTTTTTTTTCTTTTTTTTTTCCCTGTCCCCCATTCTGCAGCCTACCAATTCTTGTTTCACATTGGCAGTCTCTTAGGCACCAGTGTTTCTGCAGCTCTTGAAAGTACTATTAGGGGATTTTAACTATATCTTATGAGTTGCCAGAATATTGTAATTGGTTCTAATGAGAACTTGGCATTGGAGAGAACAATTTTCCACCAGTAATTGGTCTTAGCATGGCCATGGCCTCAAACCTCAAGGTCCAGATGACGAATAAAGTCTTATGATTGCTGGACAATTTGAAGATATGTTAATTTGTGGATAATGTGAAGATCAGTGACTTCTGTCCTTCTACCACAGGAGCCAACCTCTGGTCTTGGGATCATTCTGGACAGTGTATGTGGAATGTTTCCCCACCTGCTTTCACCACTCCTGCAATTGCTCCGAGCCCTCGTATCAGGGAAGTCCACTGCCAAAAAGGTAAGCTGTTCAGTCAGATACCTAAAGAGAATAGGAGATATTTTTTGCACCATTCATAAGGATTTCTTTTTGCTTTCCATGTTGCAGTTCCACTTCCTCTACAGGAGTTAGTCTGAAGTTGAATGAGAGATGCTAAAGATAGTGCCTCAATTCTATAAAATTAAATAAAAATCTTTTTATTAAGTACCTATTATAGATACTGTTAGAGTAAGACCAAGTATAAAGCTCCTTAATATCTAGTTGGAAGAGAATAATATATATAAGAAATAAATAGCTAATAACCAGGTGGTACATAGTAAATGTCATTTGAGCAGTAAAGACCATACCGTTCAGGAGAGACAACTGTCTCTGTGGAGTAAAGGGGACTTGAGTTGGGTATTAAAGCATGGTGAAGATTTGGCAAGGAGAACAGAAGGCAATTCCAAGAACAGTCATAGTTGTGGGCTTCTAAGAAGTTAAGAGAGTCTGGCTGAAAGAGCAGAAGAGCAGATGGGGACCCCCTTGCTTGTCCCAGAGGTGAATGTGCTATGGTTTCTTTCTGTGTGTCGGCAGGTGTATAGTTTCTTAGATAAGATGTCTTTCTACAATGAACTTTATAAGCACAAGCCCCATGATGTGATCTCCCATGAAGATGGAACACTTTGGCGGAGACAAACACCCAAACTCCTTTACCCTCTTGGTAAGATAAAGAGATCCTTGGTGCGTTAGCCCCTTTTATGACAGCCTCTATTTAGACCTCATTATTGTTTTCATTCTTTCATGTGAGGTGCCTTTAATGCAGTTCTTCTCTCCAACCATGTATGTCGATTCATTGATAAGTAATTGGAGTCAGTTTCTCTTTTTTATAGTTAACTTTTTTATATCATTAGATTGATTTCTAAAATAATGCATGTTCATTGTAACAAGGTAAATAATGCAGAGATGTATTTTAAAAAGTTAATCTTCAGTCCTTTCTCCATCAGATAATCAATGTTAAGAGTTTGGAGTATGTCTTTTCACATATTTCTGTATACTCCCACAACTCATTCTGTAAGTTGATTTTATTACATATGGCTCTGACTCATTCATTTTTGTAACTACTGCATTATCCTTGATGTTTCATAATTTTTTATCTTTCTCCTAAAGGACATTTAGACTATATTAGTGTTTCGTGACTACAAATAATGCTGCTGCATTGGGTACATGCATACTCAGTATATATACTGGTACTTTTATTTTTAGTAGATAGAATCCCCAAAGTGGGATTTTTGAACAAAAGGGTTATATAGACAGTAGAAATTTTGAATAGATTCCTAGTGACAGATGAATGAATAAACAAAATGTGGTATATACATGAAATGGAATATTATAATATTTAGCCTTTAAAAAGAAAGGAAATTCTGATGCATACTGTAACATGGATGAATCTTGATATTTTAAGTGAAATAAGCTAGTCACAAAATGACAAATACTGTATGATTCTACTCATATAAGGTGCTTAGAGTAGTCAAATTCATGGAGACAGAAAATAGAATGGTGGTTGCCAAGGGCTGGGAGTTTGAGAGAATGTGGGGAATTATTGATTAATGGATATAGAGTTTCAGTTTTGCAAGATGGAAAAAGTTCTGTGATAGGTGGTGGTGGTGTACAACAGTGTGAATGTACTTAATGCCACTGAACTGTACCCTTGGTCAAAATGATAAATTTTATGGTATATATATTTTACCACAATTAAAAAAAATTTTTTAAAAATGTTTGATTAGATTGTGCCCAATTGAGTTGTAGGGAAAGGTTGTAACAATTTGTTTTCTTATTGGCAGTGAGTATGTTAGAGTGACCAGTTACTGCTTTTAGGCTCACGTGCATCCCAGCTTCTCAAGGAGTAAAATAAAGAGGGAACAGCCTTACTGTTCTAGTCCTGGCATCACCACTGATTCACCCAGTGGTCTGTGGACTTTCTGTAGCCATCATTTGAATAGAAAACCACTCTCTGCACTGATCTGATTCTCAGACATGTGGAAAGTCATTTCTTCAGATCACGAGAGTTTTTGGGGTTTTTTTAAAATGGAAAAAGCTGTAGGAATGTTAGCTACCAAGATGTGTTTAAATATTGGTGTCTGGTAGAGGAGTTACCTCTTCCTATTTGTCCTCAGATATTAGACTGTTGTTCTTCCTCCCTCCCTAGGGGGTCAGACCAACCTTCGCATACCTCAAGGCACGGTGGGCCAAGTAATGCTGGATGACAGGGCTTACCTGGTGCGCTGGGAATACTCCTATAGCAGCTGGACCCTCTTTACCTGTGAGATTGAAATGCTGCTTCATGTTGTTTCAACTGCAGGTAAGGTCAGCTTTGGGAGACATCATGGAGGGGTAGGGGTGATGGACATGTTTGCAGGATTTGAAGGAGTTTCAAGATAAAATTCAGAACCATTAAGATTGTGATTTGTCTGATTTATTTATCTGGGTCTCGGGGACTATTCTGTGATTTTTTTTTTTTTTTTTTTTTTTTTTTTTTGAGACTAGAGTCTTACTCTATTGCCCTGAGTAGAGTGCAGTGGTGTCATCATAGCTCACTGCAACCTCAAACACCTGGGCTCAAGCTATCCTCCTGCCTCAGCCTCCTGAGTATCTGGGACTATAGGCACATGCCACCATATCTAGCTAATTTTTCTATTTTTTGTAGAGACAGGATCTCACTGTGTTGCTTAGGCTGGTCTCAAAATCCTGGCCTCAGGTGCTCCTCCCGCCTCGGCCTCCCAAAGTGCTGTGAGCCCTTGGCATGAGCTACCATACCCAGCCATTATTTCATGATTTTATTTTATTTTATTTTTTCTCTTAAGTTTGTTTGTATGCTTAACTTCTAATTACAAGTAGTACTCCTTTTTCATTGAGGCTAAATATAAAGTTGAAGATAAATGTACTGGAATTTAAAAAGTGAATCAAATACATTTTGAGTAAATAATGCCCTAGGTGGTATACAAAGATAAGAAAAACCATGACAAAACGGGAATGAATGAAATTTGGAAAACAGTGTCTTCACTCCAAGGTGGTATTTACGTAGGCATGTAGTCAGATGGTACAGAAGAGAGGGAGGGCCACAAAGGCAGGAATCAGCATGGTCTAAAAAACTTGCAAGGAGAGCACAGTTCGTTGGTGAAAGCCAGGGCCCATTTTGGTTTCTGCTACCTGGCTGCAGTGTGATGGGGAGACAAGTGATACTCACAGGCTTAGGCTATTAACGGGTAAGGAAGTCCAGCAGGGGAGCAGCAGGAGGTCCTCCTAGCAGAACCGGAAAGGCCAGTAGATAACATGAAGAGGCTAAAAAGAATATTTGGAGGGTGCAAGGGGAGCTGGGACAGGGGAATGAGGTGGCTAGAGAAACAAGCTGTTTTAGCAAGGCTAGCAGTTCAAAGACTAGGAGAATGGCCTTTAGGGTAGGACTGCCTGAGTTCAAATCAGAGCTTCATCACTTACTGTATACTTGGAGCAACACTTAACATCACTGAGCCTCAGTTTTCTTATTACCTATAAGAAAGGATAATAATAGAACCTGTGCCTATTTACTGAAAGTTCGGCACTTGTCCCCGAGGCCCCATCAGAAGAACAAGGACAAGTGGTTTGAGGAGAAAGAAAGAGTTTATTAATTTGCCGACAAATGAGGAGGTTGGCGGACTCCCACCTGAAAGTACCATTGTCCTCTATTTTGTGATTTTAAAGGAGTTGTTTGCCATGGGGTCACAGTCTGTCTTTCCCCTCAGATGTGATTCAGCACTGCCAGCGAGTCAAACCCATCATTGATCTGGTCCATAAGGTCATCAGTACTGACCTGTCAATAGCAGACTGTCTTCTGCCCATCACGTCCCGCATCTACATGCTGCTGCAGCGGTGAGTCTCTTGTGGCTAACCCTTAGCTGCCTGGCAGAGCTCCCAGCAGTTATTCTCTTGGTTTTGAGGAGCCTGGCACATACCCACTGGGTTAAAGTCCACACATGTTCCTCTGTGGGAAACCCTGGTGTAGTATCTGTCCCCAGCTGAGGGCTTCCCTGTTTTTATATCCCTGCTGAGATGAAGGACTTGGGAAGAGAGAACTGGGAAATATTTGTGATGGAACCAACTGTATTATTCATTTTACCGAGTACAGTGCACTGTTCTCCAACCAGGTTAACAACAGTGATCTCCCCACCTGTAGATGTCATTGCTTCTTGTGTCAACTGCTTGACTGTTTTGGCTGCCCGGAATCCAGCAAAGGTGAGACATCAAATCTTTCCAACAGCCAAAAAATGCAGCTCTTGATGTACACCTGAAGATATGTGGACATTTAACTCTTCTTTTCCCTTCTCAGGTCTGGACTGATCTTCATCACACAGGTTTTTTACCATTTGTGGCCCACCCTGTCTCCAACATGAGTCAGATGATCAGGTGAGCCAGGTCCTAGGGTGGGTAGAGCATATTTTCTAGACAGAACCATGTATGTTTCAGGTCTAGCCTAGCTTTACAGGTTTTAAGGAAGCTTGCCTGTCCACTTACTCTGTGCAGTCCTTGCCTATTCAGCCCTCTGGCCAGAAGTAGGAGGGTGAGTGAGGACAGGGTAAAGGAGATGGTGGGGTATGGGGCCCAGAGCTGCTCTCCTCTCAGGGCGGCACTGATGGCTCATAGTCTTTAAAGCCTGAGAGCAGGAGAGCAAGAAAGATTCTCATCTAGCTGCTGCCATTTTAGGTATGTGGGAGTTTACTTTCCAGCCTAGAGAATCCAGAGGTATCTAGATCCAGGGACTTATCCCATTAAGCCACATTATCCCATTCTTAACTCTGTACTTTTTCTTTTTTCATGGGTGCTTGAACTTGCTCAGTGGACCACTTACTAATGCACCGGCTCTATCTTACTACCTGAGCATTCTCACCTTGCTGGCTCTTGCTTATAAGACAAAAATGTTTCCTTCATTTGATTTTTCACTTTGAATCTGTTAATGTTGTACATCAATAAAACATGTTCTTAATGTTTACCCTGGGCATAAGATTGATTAATGCTCTTGCAGAGCTTTCCTGTCTTATGCTTGAAACATCTAGACTGTAGCAAGACTGCTCTGTGATTAGTTTCTTGAAACCTGATATTTCCTTATTGTTTTTTTCCCTTTACTTCTCTGTCTTTTCTCAGTGCGGAGGGGATGAATGCTGGAGGGTATGGAAACCTCTTGATGAATAGTGAACAGCCCCAGGGCGAGTATGGGGTCACTATTGCCTTTCTGCGCTTGATCACCACCCTTGTCAAGGTGGGTCTGGTCAGATGATTCTGAAATAGTTTCCCTGTCTCCGGCTACTGTAGTCATCTTGTCTGTAGGCAGAACAGTTGTCCTGAAGTTACGGTGCTTACCATTTCAATACATTGAGTATATGTGCCAGTATATTCTATAGTGGGTACTTAATTATGTGAATTTATTTACTAGAAGGCTTATGAGTTAGAACTGAAGAGGCCATATGGGTAATGCAGTGGCTGTCAAGCTATTTCTGTGGTAGCCCAGGATAATAGGCACATTGTGTATCGTTTCCCAGTATGTATGTGTGTATATATACTCCTGGAGCAAAATTTCACAATACAGCATTTACTGTTACTACACAAGATTCACTCAGTGCCCCCTTCCCTTTTTTTTAAAGTGAGTTGTGACCATATGCTGATTTCATAATCCACTAATGGATCACAACTTAGTTTGAAGAATACTCTATATGAGTTGAGAGCATAGAATTTGGAGTCAGAATTTGGTTTACATTTCAGGTTGACCACTTATTAGCTGGCATGACCTTGGGGGCAAGTACAGAATTTCTCAGAATCTCTGTAAAATAAGAGTGATACATGGTGTCTGCCTCATCCGGTTGAGAGGGTCATGTGTGGAAAGCACTTGACCCACTTCCTGCCTGCAGGAATCAGTGAATGCTTAAAAAGATAGAAGCCATTGTGTATAGAGGTAGGGATACAAATTCAGGTGTAAATTTAGAAAACTGAAATTAACAAGTACCATCAGGGCAAAGAATTTGGGGTATCAGATCTCCTTTCTCATATTTCAGTGATGGGGTTGAGGTTAGGGACGGCTGGTGATCGTGACAGTGAAGCTGCCATTCTTCAGTATCAAAAATCCTATAGCCGGCCGGGCGCGGTGGCTCACGCCTGTAATCCTAGCACTCTGGGAGGCCGAGGCGGGTGGATTGTTTGACCTCGGGAGTTCAAGACCAGCCTGAGCAAGAGCGAGACCCCGTCTCTACTAAAAAAATAGAAAGAAATCAGCTGGACAACTAAAAATATATATAGAAAAAATTAGCCGGGCATGGTGGCACATGCCTGTAGTCCCAGCTACTCGGAAGGCTGAGGCAGTAGGATTGCTTGAGCCCAGGAGTTTCAGGTTGTGAGCGAGGCTGACGCTACAGCACTCTAGCCCGGGCAATAGAGTGAGACTCTGTCTCAAAAAAAAAATAAAATAAAATAAAAAAATACAAATCCTATAGCCTTTATGTTTAAGGTACCTCCCTTCTGTCCACATTTAGCCTTCATTCCTCTTCTTCATGTTGGCACCTTTTGTGACATTTTCACATTGTCTTTTTAGTCACTTTTTCTATTCTAAAGAAACCCACAACTTGGGCTCAATTAAGGTAGAATGTTCTGATGTTTTGGTTTTTCGCTGATGGCCAAAGCTTGCCCAGAATTCCTTTGGACCAACCTATCTATGGTTTTGGAGTTAAGTCTCTAATCACTAGATGACTTTTCTTTAAGTGGCAGAAGCCTTCACAGCATGGTTTTTTGTAGGGGCAGCTCGGCAGTACACAGAGCCAAGGACTTGTTCCCTGTGTAATGTTTGTGCTGAAGGAGATGCTTCCCAGCTACCACAAGTGGCGCTACAACTCTCATGGTGTGAGGGAACAGATCGGTAAGGACAGCATGGGCAGGGAAGACCTGGGAATTTCTGGGTCCCTGGGAAGCTTTCTCTCCCTTTCTTGGGATTAGGGTCATCACGCAAGGCCACATTATTCTTTTGTCTTTCTTGGAGTCCAGGTTGCCTGATCCTGGAGCTGATTCATGCGATACTGAACCTGTGCCATGAGACAGACCTGCACAGCAGGTAATGAGGTCGATTGCAAGAGCCCAGTGCTCACCAAGGGATACGTGGGCTATTGCTGTGTAAAGCCATCTCAGTTCTTCCAGAGAACTCACCTTGGTTGAGCCCAGAGCTCAGTAATCTTTGAGATTGTGAGCAGCTTTCCACTGGCCTATTTATCATTTTTCCTTGTGGAGAGAGAAGAGCAAATGAAGTGGGAACAAGATTGTGTGTGTGTGTTTGTGTATACTTACATAGTAATCAATTTTATGATCTTTCCAAAAGTTATGCGCATTCATTGGAAATATTCAGTGCAAAATGCTCTTCATATATCTACTTTCATATATCTACTTCCCATAGGCGATGTTAACAAATTTGTGTTTCTTCTAGGTTTTTTCCTCTGCCTATACTAACTGCTCTGTAACTTTCTTTCTGTGCCATTGCATACAGATCTGTCTTGTTTTATGGATTCCATGGTTCTATGGATTCCATTGTATGGATTAATCATAATTGTATGGTTCTATGGATTCCATTGTATGGATTAATCATAATTGTATGGTTCTGTGGATTCCATTGTATGGATTAATCATAATTCATTACATTAACTGTATCTGTTAATTGGTGAACATTTAAATTCCTTCTTAGTGTGTTCTTTAGGATCAAATCTATTTCAGGAAAATGATCAGAGTGCCTTCAGCTTGCAGAGAGCTGATCTGTATCACCAATGGCCAGTTTGTTAAGTTTGCCACCCTCCGCAGCTAGACAGTGCCCTTTCCTTCCAGTGATGAACTTGGCAGCTCCCTAGTAACTCAGAACATCTCTGTCTTCCAGTCACACTCCTAGCCTGCAGTCTCTCTGCATCTGCAGTCTGGCCTACACAGAAGCAGGACAGACAGTTATTAATATCATGGGCATTGGCGTGGACACCATTGACATGGTGATGGCTGCTCAGCCCCGAAGGTAGGGCTCCTTCTCCTCCTTCCCTCTGTTTGTCTTTATAGTGCCTGTGTGTTCTAAGAAATCCAGTTGAGGTTAACTTGCAGTAGGTTTTTTGAGACAACCTTGTTCTTCTTAGGATGTAGCTGTTATCTAACCTAGTGGCTGCAAAATAGGCTGGCACATAGCAAAGGGAGTTGATTACTCCTCCTCTCTCCTAGTTTGGACTGGGGCCTCTAACAGAAGCTGTTGAACTCTGGGATTATTGTTGGAATCTAATTCATGAGAGCGCATGTGTTACAAATGAAGTCGTATTGTCTGAATCAACTTTGGTTTCCATTTGGCACCCTAGTGATGGGGCAGAGGGCCAGGGGCAGGGCCAGCTGCTGATCAAGACAGTGAAACTGGCATTCTCCGTCACCAACAATGTTATTCGGCTGAAACCTCCTTCTAATGTGGTGTCCCCCCTGGAACAGGCTCTCACACAACATGGTATGTATTTCTCTTCCAATCAGCAACATTTTGGCCCATGAACACATATTTTAGGCAGTGTTTTTGGATGTCAAAACTATTTTCTGATTAACTTCTTAAATTTGGGAATGATTACCAGTCCCTTTCCTGGTTTTGGAAACAAGAGAACTGGGTCATACTTTATTTCTGCCTCCTATTGATGATAGAATAATAGATAAGAACACAGGTTCAAAATCAGCCTGCCTTGGTTCAAATTTTGGCCCCAACCACCCTGACTTTGGGCACATTATTAAATAATTCTCCCTTGGGTTTCTCATCTGTAAAATGGGGATAATAGTACAGGTTGAATATCCCTTATCTAAAATGCTTGGGGCCCAGAAAAAAGATTTCAGATTTTTTTGGATTTTGGAATATTTGAATTATACTTACTGGCTTAGCATCTCTAGTCCAAAAACCTAAAATCCAAAAAGCTCCAGTGAGCATTTCCGTTAAGCTATAGCTTCAGATTTTAGAGCATTTCAGATTTTAGATTTTTAGATTAGGGATGCTCAACCCATAGTATCTACCTTGTAAGATTACAATGAAGATTAGATAAATTACTACGTAAAATATGTAGAGAATTACTATGTAAAATATGTAGAGATGGTTTTGGTACCTATTAAATATTGGCTATTACTCTGTGACCTTCAACTAATTATTTAATCTCTTTAGGGCCCAGTTTCCTCACATTTAAGTAAGTGTTTGGATATGTCTAAGACCGTATTGAGCTGTGTAATTTTGGGATTTTAACGATTTTGTTGCATATCAGGGCAATGCTTTTTTCTAACCTATTTGATAAAAGTATATATTTTCTTCAAAATATATCTTTGCTATTAATGAATTGGGTTGAACTGTTTACCCCCAAATCCTGGCTATTCCTTTGCTCCTGAATAAAAGAGAAGGATGCCGCCCCCTGGGTTCGCTTTGGCCCTCCAAGAACTTGAGGGCAAATTTCCTCACATATACAACATGAGCCTTTTAGGACCGCAGCTTCTCTAAGAACTTGAGTGAGGCACACTTGATGTCTAAACTGTTTCCCGTGCTCCTTCAGGTGCTCATGGGAACAACCTCATTGCTGTTCTAGCCAAGTACATCTACCACAAACATGACCCTGCTTTGCCACGTCTTGCCATTCAGCTGCTGAAACGTCTGGCCACGGTAGGATCCCACTCAACCAACTAGAGCTTTAGGAAACTGACTCTTCCTGCTTGAGACCACTCCTGCCATCTCCCAAAAGAAGCAGCTGGCTAACTTGGACTTCTCTGACTTTTAAAGTATAATAATATAGCCATACATACACACACACACACACACACCCCCCCACGCACACACAAAATGTGTGTTTATATGAGGGTGGTTTTTTCCCTGATTACAAAAAATGTACATGCTTGTTGTACAATATGTATTTAAATGTTACAGATAGATATAATGTAGAAAGTTAAGGTGCCCTGTGGTCCTCTTGTTCCAAGAATCCCTATGGGCAGGTTGATATGCATTGCTCCAGATTTATTTTTATCTGTGTTTATATGTTAAATAAAAGTGTTTGGTGCTTTGGTCAGATGAATCTGTTTAAAAAAAAAGAACATACATTTTTGTTCTTTATAGAAGTAGAATTCCACTACACATACTGTTTCATGACTGGCTTTTTTCATGCAGCACCATATTGTGCAGTCGCTCCACGTGAGCACATCTGGACCCACTTCATTCTCTTTAGTGCTGTAGACCATACCCTGGAGTGGACACACCGAATTTATTTGGGCTATTTTGTTTCTCACTGTTATAAACAGTGCTGCAGTGAACATTATTATCCCTAGAACCTTGTAAATGTTTGTTTCTAGTTCCTAAAAATTAGTAGGCATAAATGAACATTTTAATTTTTAATAGATATTTCCAAATTGCCCCCCAGAAAAGATTGTAACAGTTTATACTCCTCTAACACCAAGTCTTGTATCCTTGCCATGATGCCTTCATCAGTTTTTTAACTTTTGTCAATCTAATAGGCAAAAAAAAAATGCTATGTACTTTTTCACTTTATATTTATTTAACTGTGAGAGGTTGAGTGTCTTTTTATGTTGATTGCTTCTGTGAATTTTTGGGCATCTCATGCTATTGCTTGGCGTGATGTCCCCGTTTTCCTAGAACTTTATGTCTGGATGCTTCCCTTTCTGCCAATTTTTGGGGAGTTCTCCAGAGCCCTTCTGCAGTAGCCCACTGAGGTTTTTCTGGAAGCAGAGCTGTAAGCCTGTGTGTCCTGGTCTCCATCAGGTGGCCCCAATGTCAGTGTATGCTTGCCTGGGCAATGATGCGGCAGCCATACGTGATGCCTTCCTGACCCGACTGCAGAGCAGGATTGAGGATATGCGCATCAAAGTCATGATTTTGGAATTCCTCACGGTTGCAGTAGAGACCCAGCCAGGCCTTATTGAACTGTTTCTGAATCTGGAGGTGAAGGATGGGAGTGATGGCTCCAAGGTGCGCCTGTACTTGGGATGAGCTGGGAGGTGGCTTCCTAAGATGTGGTGCTGGGCTCTGCAGGAGTGGCTGCTAGCAGTGGCTGTGAGACTGAACTCTCACCCATACCCTCTTAACAGGAATTTAGCCTTGGGGTGTGGAGCTGCCTCCATGCAGTGCTAGAGCTGATTGATTTCCAACAGCAAGATCGATACTGGTGCCCGCCTCTGCTGCATCGTGCAGCCATTGCCTTTCTGCATGCCTTGTGGCAAGACCGTCGGGACAGTGCCATGTTGGTCCTGCGAACCAAGTGAGTCTGACTTTGCGAGTAGTCTCATTGTCCTTGTCTGTATAAAGGTAGTTGTTATCTCAGAGGTTTGTTGTGACAGTTCCCTGGGAGTGAGCATAAAACATGCTTAGTGCCTGTTTCAATACATGGGAGTTTTACACTTATTGTTTTTTTAATGCTGTCAGTAGTAATTAAGGATCTTTAAGGTTCAACTACTTTTGTGTTCCTGCCTTCTGCTAACTCCATCAAAACCCAATATTCTTGAGAAACAGTAGATTCAGATGAGAATGGCTTGCTTAAGCCACTGGACCAAATGGAACAAATATTGTATTCTCTTGGATCCCATTGGCACAAAGGAAGGAGCATTAAAAAGTCAGAATTTGGAAGTCTCCTGTCTTATTTCCCTCTCTTCTTTGTGAGGCTTTTGGAAATGTACAATGGAAGGAATCATTAAGAGTTTTTATTAATCAACTCTATAATGCACAATTGTGTTTTTTTTTTTTTTTTTTTTGAGACAGAGTCTCACTGTGTTGCCTGGGCTAGAGTGCAGTGGCGTCATCTTAGCTCACAGCAACCTCAAACTCCTGGGCTCAAGCGATCCTCCTGCCTCAGCCTCCCGAGTAGCTGGGACTACAGGCATGCGCCACCATGCCTGGATAGTTTTTTCTATATATTTTTAGTTGTCCAATTAATTTCTTTCTATTTTTAGTAGAGATGGGATCTCGCTCTTGCTCAGGCTGGTTTCGAACTCTTGAGCTCAAACAATCCGCCAGCCTCGGCCTCCCAGAGAGCTAGGATTACAGGCGTGAGCTACCACGCCTGGCCAACAATTGTGTTTCTTAAGAGAAAAATGTAATTTTATCTACTCTATGTAGGAGCAATTGACTTATGAGACAGATGTTAGGATTGGGACTGGTAAAATAGGGAGAAGTGACCACCAAAGGGAGCTGGAGAGAAGAGAAAAAGGACTGTGGGAGAGAAAAGTGTGATTTCCAACATGTGTTTCCTTTCTAGACCCAAGTTTTGGGAGAATTTAACTAGTCCGCTGTTTGGAACCCTTTCTCCTCCCTCAGAAACATCTGAGGTAAGCTGTGGCGGAGGGCAGGACAGCAGCTGCAGTCCCTGGGGGAAAAGGGTGGGCTGTGAGAATGGGGGTGTAGAAAGTAATACCTCCCCTAATTAAACAACAGAATGTTCTCTTCCCTGGAAACTTCTATCTTAGAGAAGTGCCTGCTTCCTTTCCCTTTGGTGTCTTGCTTTGGGAAGGACAGTGGCTTGCCCTGCCTCTTCTCGTTAATGGTTCAGCATCTTGTCCACTCACTTGCAGACATTGTGGACTGACACTTCTGCTTTTGCAAGTCAGGTGGCCATTCACAATCAAGAGGGAGTGTACTTGCTTGTTCTCCAAGTATTGGGTGCTGCTCTATTCACTTTTGGGGGCACTGGGGGAGATGTTCTTCCATGTGATCAGAGTCTGTTCTGTTCCTTCTTCACAGCCCAGTATCCTGGAAACCTGTGCTCTAATCATGAAGATAATTTGCTTGGAGATATACTATGTAGTTAAGTGAGTCCTTTCTCCTTTTGAGATTTTAATTGAAGGTTGAAAGGAGAGGGAGATTGTGGTGGCCTACCACTGGGTGCATGGCAGTATGAGCCAAGGCAGGGGACAGAGCTGGTTTGGAACCATTTTTGGGGGGCCAGTGAGCTGTGTCCCTGGCCAATCCATTGATGGCGTTTATGATTATCAGAAAGTTATTGTGAAGCAAACTCCATGTGACCGGGATTTTATGGAGGAGGAATCCTGGAAAGGCCTCAGCCTAACCCCATTATGTTGAGCAAGAAGTATGAGCCCCACACTTTGGAGGTGATCCTGGAGCCGTCTGCCTTTAAGCCCATGTGAGGTTGTTTTCTCTGCCTCAACAAGGGTCTGTGCCCATCTCATTCCCATCTGCTTTTAAAACCTAACTGTGGGTTTTGTTTTTTTCTTGACCCCATAGGGGTTCGTTAGACCAGTCATTAAAAGATACACTCAAGAAATTTTCCAGCGAGAAACGCTTTGCCTACTGGTCAGGGTATGTCAAATCCTTGGCAGTTCACACAGCTGAAACAGAGGGCAGCAGCTGTACCTCCTTGTTAGAGTATCAGATGCTGGTCTCCGCCTGGAGGATGCTTCTCATCATCGCCACCAGTCATGTAAGAACTTCCTGGGGCAAGTGTTCACTTTCATGTCTTAACAGTGACCCTTAGAGATGCTTAGCAGATATAGGTCCTTGGGATGAAAAACGAATCAGGATGGATTTATCCCTGAGAGCTAAAATTAACAGATTATGTGCCAGGAGACTGGGGCAAATGTGGAGTATTTGAGGGTGTTGAGTCCAAGGGACTCTTAAGAAGAGTGTAGAGAAGTCATTTGAAATCCTTTCAGACGTTCCTAAAGCCTGTGTAGCTCCCTTTGGGCCTGACTAGGTCTAAGGTGTTCCCTTCCTGCATCTGCCTCTTGTGCTGTGTGCCCTGTAGATACTGGGTAAATATTTACAGACTAGTCAGTAGGTAGCTCTGACAGCTGTAGCAGCACCCTGTCTAAAGAGCAGTTTATTTTCACTGGTTCTAGAAACTACATTTCCTGGTCTTAGAAAAAATAGAGGCCATTGTCTTTGCATTGCGTGCTACTCAGAGTTGGTTTTGAAAGAGAGTTTGCATTGTTTGTGGCATTTTTCATAGTTTGATGCCATCATGCTGTATCATAAGGGCTTGGTGGTGAACTATTTTTCCCTAGGGTATACAGACAAATATCTTGACTTCATTAACAACTTCAGCTTGATAGATGTCTCCTTGTTTCAAGCGTCTCTTACAACTTCTGTGAAATTTGTTCCCTAGTGCCAGACTGCCCACATACTTGGAGCTTTGAGCCTAGAAAGGGTGGATGTGTGAACACTCTTGGCCATGGCAGAGTGGCTGTGGACCCCTAAGACCCCAGACACACTGAAAGGCTCAGCCATCTTTGGGAGTGGTTGATTCCCCCAGGGTATAATCTCTGTGTCGCCTGCCTTTTAGGTCCTAGTTAGGAAGCAGTTTTTGAGTTGTGGCTCTGAAAATCCCACCATCCTCTTTCCCCCTAGGAGACCTGTCTGGCTAAGTCCAGGATGTTGATCATTCATTCATTCAGTTAATGGCTATTAGTGGAATCCTTACCATATGCCAGGCATCAGGATACAGCAGTGAGTAAGGCAGATAAGATCTTAAGTCTCGTAGAGAGTGGTCCTTGAGGGAGGTAAATTGTAAACAAATTTGCCAATAAAAAATATGGTTTCAGATGGTGGTAACTGTCTGCGAAGGAAATAAGGTGCTATGGTAGTGAACATGTGAGACAGAAGTAGTCAGGGAGGCCCACTCTGAGGAGGCGATGTCCCAACTGAGATCTGAGTGTGTGGAGAAGCCTTCCAGGTGGAACACCTGTGGAGGAGAGGTCTGGGCAGAGGGGCTCGCAGGTGCCAAGGTGCAGAAATGGAAAGGAGCTTGGTGTGTCCAAGAAGGAGGCAGGAGGTGAGTAGGGCTGGACTGGAGTGAGCACAGTGGGGGTGATACCAGAATCAGTTGGACCAGATCCTGTGGGGCCTCCAGGTCATGTTGAAGAGTTTGGTTTGCATTTCCCAGACACTGGGAAGGCTTTGAAGGGTTCTTAGCAGAGGATGGATGAACTTGGATTTGACTCTGAACATAGATAGCTAAGAGTCAACAGAAATAGCAGGGCCCTCAAGCCCCATTTTAAATCAGGGCTGCAGTGACTTATCAATGGCTAATTGCCTGACAGAGGGCCCCGCATTTCTTGGCTGTAAAATCTGGGAAATTTTCCCAGCTGAAATCTTTTTCTGTTCCTTTGTAGGCAGATATAATGCACCTGACCGACTGTGCAGCGCGTCGACAGCTCTTTCTTGATGTACTTGATGGGACCAAAGCGTTAGTAAGTGTGTCTGGAAGGTTTCTCATTCCTCCCAGGGAGAGAGTCGCCAGAATGCAAATAGCAGAGCTCAGGTGTTTGCGGCTGGCGGCACAGTGGTCAGGTCAGAGGGCTCACGTGGGGCTGGGAGGCGCCGGAGGCTGCAGTGCGTCAGCAGGGGTCTACCGCTGCTATACCAGCACTAGCTTCTCCCCCTCCGCTCCACCCCTGTGAACTCGCTGCCAGGGAAGAAAGGCATGTGTCCAGGACGTGCCCTGTGGATAAAGTGTGAATCCTCTCACTGTGTCTGCTCACAGGAAGTCAGGCTTCTCACTGGTGTGCTGTCTCCCCTCAGCTCCTAGTTCCGGCCTCCGTGAACTGCCTCCGCCTCGGCTCCATGATGTGCACTCTGCTGCTCATCCTCCTCCGGCAGTGGAAGAGGTGAGCGCTGTGCCGGGAGAGGTGGGCTGAGGCCAGAGCCTCCTTGGCAGCCCCTGCTCACTCCGCTTACGCCTTTCGCCTTCCCGGAGGGGAGAAAGTGGGTCTGAACTGGCCTGGCTTTCCCTCATAGGGAGTGGGCGTGACATGGCAGAAGGCAGGGGAGGCAGACTGCCTGGGAGACACCCTGACGTGGAGTGTGGGTAGAGTATGGCCTTCCGTGAGGTGTGTTATCCCGCCTCTGCCCCTATATTCTTTCTAGAGAGTTAGGTTCTGTGGATGAAATCCTTGGACCCCTGACGGAGATCCTGGAGGGAGTGCTGCAGGCAGACCAGCAACTGATGGAGAAGACCAAGGCCAAGGTGTTCTCAGCGTTCATCACAGTGTTACAGATGAAGGAGATGAAAGGTGAGGGGCAGGGGCAGTGGGAGCAGCAGCAGCAGTCTGCCTGCCCCTGCTGGCAGCCATTCTGGGTGGGCCTTCCTCCGGCTCTGGGACACACATTTCTCTTGTGACTTTTGAACTTTCAGTCTTGGAATTTTACCTCATTTACACTCTTTTTCTTCCTGACCTGTCTTTCCTCCCTTCCCACCAGACACTCTCCCTCTTAGCACTCTACCACATTCCCAGCCCCCTGCCTGGGAAGGAATCAGTGAGAGTTGGCCTGGTGAGCATGACTGTGTTCCCTCCCTGTCTGCTCTGCAGTAAGTGACATACCCCAGTACTCCCAGCTGGTGCTGAACGTCTGTGAGACCCTCCAAGAAGAGGTGATTGCACTCTTTGACCAAACTCGCCACAGTCTGGCATCAGGCAGTGCCACAGAGGACAAGGATAGCATGGAGACCGATGACTGCTCTCGGCCCCGACACAAGGACCAGCGTGATGGGGTGAGGGAGTGCCCTAGCAAGCTGTCTGTCCTTCCCACTGCCTGCCAGCTCTGTGTCTGACCCTGGGGTGACTAGTGAGCAAGACAGATAGTTGTTGCACTTCTAGAGTTCACAGCCTGGGAGGAAGAGTTAACAGATTAGGCACTGTGCAGAGAAGCAGAGGAGTCCCATTGTGACAAGCAATGCAGGGGAGAAGTGCAGGGAAAACTTATAGCCTGGGTTCCACCCTGATCCATGACTCGGAGTAAAAGTGCCTTGTCAAAGATGACATGGATTGGTAGAGGCAGGCAGTGAGAGGGGCTGGAGAAAGACCATTTAGGAGGCAACTGCATTAGTGTAGCAAGAGGTGGTGAGGTCTCTCCAACTCCTAGTGGTGGAGTTGGGTGGAGCATCCAGACTGGGGACAGGAGGTGGCACTGACAAGGCTCGGTGACAGTGTGGGTGAAGGCAGAGGGAGGAAGCGGATGTAGAGCCCATAGGTTTAGGGGAGTTACGCATTAGAGTAGGTGGAGTTGCTGTTCACTGAGAGCTGGCCCCAAGACGGGCAGGATGGGGAGATGGTGTGAGTTCTGATAGTCAAGCTCACACTGGAGGTGTGTGACCAAGCAGGTCTTGGGCATCCAGGCCCATGGCTGCCCATCATCCTCCGCCTCTTCCTTCCCCTGGACTGTTTCATTCCTCCTCTTCTACTCATCTTTGCTCCTGGGCTCCAGCAGGTGTGTGTCCTGGGCTTGCACCTGGCCAAGGAGCTGTGTGAGGTAGATGAGGATGGTGACTCATGGCTGCAGGTGACCCGCAGGCTCCCCATTCTGCCCACCCTGCTCACCACCCTGGAGGTGAGTCTTCGCATGAAGCAGAACCTGCACTTCACTGAGGCTTCATTGCACCTGCTCCTCACCCTGGCTCGCACCCAGCAGGTAGGAGGCCAGCCAAGGGCAGGAGGGGACCTCCTTGCTTGTGCTGTGTGGGTTCCGATATTCCAGAAGCTGTGGTCTAGCCCAAGAGCCCTACCTGCCCCTGGGCGGAGGGCTGCAGGCTTAGGCTCTGGTTGTGGTGGGGCAGGAGCAGGCTCCGTCTCATTCTATGTCCTTCCTCCCAGGGAGCCACAGCAGTGGCTGGAGCTGGCATCACTCAGAGCATTTGTTTGCCCCTCCTGAGCGTGTACCAGCTCAGCACCAATGGCACAGTGCAGGTGAGTGCCAGGAGTTTGCTGGGAGGCCTGGCATGGTCATCCTGCAGTTCCAGATGAAAAGTACCCTTCCCATCTGGCCCTGGAAGTTGCTCTCCTCTTCATGGCTTGCTTAATGCACTGATGGTTAGGAATCTTCCTCACCCCGAGGCTGATCTCTAACAAACTTGCCACTAAAAGGTACCACCTAATCTCTGTGCACCACCTGTGGGAGATGGGATGGATTCTTCCTGTTATAAGCATAAGGAGGGCCAAAGAACACATCCCCGAGATTGGGCCTGCAGCCAGGACAGCTGTCCTCTCCTCTCTCCCTCTGAAAGGCAGTGTGTCACTGTGACTCCACCCCTGTCCCATGGGACCAAGAAAAGGGGAAGTGGGTGGTATGAGGGTTTGATGTGGCCTCAGCACCCTGACCTCTGTGTACCTTGGTTACTCATAGTTCAACAGATGTCTCTTAATCCCAAAAGAGCAGTCTTCACTTGAACCTCTCACTCTTAGGAGAATTGTTAAGTAGCTGGGCATCTAGCACAGCTGCCCTTTAGAGGAAGCACGTGAGGGCCAGAGCCGGGCAGTGATGTCCAAGTTCACACAGCTGGTTAGTGCCGGACCTGACTCTGGAACCCAGGATGTTGAATCTCTGCCTAGTGCTTTTTCCTTGCATCTGCTGGCCTTGGCCCCTTCTCTGGCCCTGCTGGTTGCCAGGCAGTGGCTGTGCCCACCCTGGTACATTTCTCCTCCCGGCAGCCAGTTGCCTTAGCTGCTGTACTGCAAGGAGGCCCTACACTCCCTGTCAGCTGGGTTCCTGTGGCACTGTGTCCTGAGCTTGTCTGCCGTTTGTCCTTAGACACCTAGTGCCTCTAGGAAGTCTGTGGATGCCCCCTCTTGGCCGGGTGTCTACCGCCTGTCCATGTCCTTGATGGAGCAGCTGCTCAAAACTCTGCGGTACAACTTCCTGACCGAGGCCCTGGACTTTGTGGGTGTCCACCAGGAGCGGACCTTACAGGTGAGGGCCTGCTGGCATCACGAGAGGAGGCCTCAGAGTAAAAAGGGATCTGGGCCATTCAGGGGGCAAGTGGGTATGGAGGTTGGGCCTCGGCATTGGAGGTGTGTTGATGCCCTCATTTCTGAGATGTGCTGAGGACTGTTGGCTCACTGGCCAGCCAGAGTCTGCTGAGTGATGGGAAGGGTCTCAGGTCAGCTCAGACAGAAACTTGGTTGCACTGCCAAGCCACCTATTGTGCTGCCACCTCAGTGTTTGTGGACCCAGGACCAGTCCTCTCCAGAGGAAGGCAGGAATGGTTGTGTCTCAGGTCCCTGAGCCATCCCCATCCTTCCCTGCTGTCCCCTCTCTTCTCAGTGCCTCAACGCGGTAAGGACAGTGCAGAGTCTGGCCTGCCTGGAGGAGGCGGACCACACTGTGGGCTTTATTCTGCAGCTGTCCAACTTCATGAAGGAATGGCACTTCCACCTGCCTCAGCTTATGCGTGATGTCCAGGTGGGGGCTTTGGACACTGTGTCTTGGAGGGGTCTGGGGAAATGCTTGGGGACAAGAAAGCTGTGGGCACTCTCTGGGGCACCTCCAGTGAATTGCAGGCTATTCCTGGGCTTTTCGCTTGGGGAGCACAGGGTTTGGCTTCGTTTTGCTTACTCTGGCTGAAGTTTTCCCTCCACCATGAAGGGCAGCCATGTAGATGAAGAACTTGGGCTCTATCAGATAGACCTTATTCAAATCCCTTAAGGACAGACCTAGAGCTGGGAACCAGCTGGAGAGGGGGGCAGGGAAAGAACACAGGCTCTGGAGCCAGATAAGCTTTTGCTGATTTTGTGACCTTGGCCAAGTCACTTCACCTCTATTTTTCTTTTCCTTTTGTTTTTGTAGAGACAGGGTCTCACTATGTTGCCCAGGCTGGTCTTGAACTCCTGGGCTCAAGTGATCCTCCTGCCTTGGCCTCCCAAAGTGCTGGGATTACAGGCATGAGCTATTGCACCCATCCTCACCTCTATTTCTAGGCCTGTATTATTTTCCTGTAAAATGGGAATCAGTCATATCCCCATCTTTATTTACTTAGGACCTTATAACGTGCCAGGCATTTAGCTAGGTCCTAGGTAAACAATACAGGCCTGAGCCCTGCTGACCCCAAGTTTGCAGTGCTACATACTTAGTGGCTGTAGGCTAGAGTGTGGCCAAGTGAGCATTAGCAGGTAAGAGAAGAGTGTCAGGGAGTGAGAGCAGCACATTGCTATCCTGTAGAAGAGACTTGTTGGGTCAGTCTAGTCAGATGACTGGGGCTGCTGCCCAAGAATCTTCCTCTCCCTCCCATGTGTGTCCCAGGTCAACCTGGGTTACTTGTGCCAGGCCTGCACCTCCCTCCTGCACAGCCGCAAGATGCTGCAGCACTACTTACAGGTACCTAAGTCCTGAATGCCCATGAGTGCCTAGAATGCCTCACCCTGGCTTGCATGGGCTCCACCTTCATTTTCTGACTCCCCAGAACAAAAATGGAGATGGCCTCCCCTCAGCTGTCACCCCTCGAGTCCAGCGACCGCCCACCGCTGCTATGGCTACACCTGCTGCTCCTGCCTGCTGCTCTTCCTCCAAGCAGCCCACTGCTGACACAGAGGCCTCAGAGCAGCGGGCCTTGCACACGGTCCAGTACGGCCTTCTCAAGATCCTAAGCAGGACCCTCGCAGCCCTGCGCCACTTCACCCCAGATGTCTGCCAGATTCTGCTGGACCAGGTACCAGTTGCCACCTGTGCGGCTCTGCTGGCTTCCTGGAGCCTTAAAGTCTGTTGTTTTGTGCTCTGCTCCCCTCTGCTGAGCACTGAGAGCCACCTGGCATCTTAGCTGGGTCCTAGATCACCCTTGTCTTGCCTTGTAGTCGCTGGATCTTGCTGAATACAACTTCCTGTTTGCCCTGAGCTTTACCACCCCCACCTTTGATTCTGAAGTAGCCCCCTCCTTTGGGACCCTTCTGGCCACAGTGAATGTGGCCCTCAACATGCTTGGAGAGGTAAGTCGGGTACTGTCAGACTTGCCCTCCACCCATTCTTCCTCTAGTCTGCCACTTCCTAGCCTACCGTGGGTGTGTTATCTGACCTTCCTGGGAATAGAGCCTACCCATGAGCATTATTGTGAAGATTAAATGAGGTCACTGATAAGCAGGAAACTTTCAGCAAGTGGGAGCTGTTACTGTTGGCTTATTTTTTTACTGCTTGCTTCTCTTCTTCCAGCTGGACAAGAAAAAGGAGCCCCTCCCCCAGGCTGTGGGGCTCAGCACACAGGCAGAAGGGACCAGGACATTAAAGTGAGACCTCCTTCAGGGTTCTGACAAGGGGCTGGGGCAGTCATGGGCCGACCATTTTCTCTGGGTAGAATGGCCCTCTGCAACAGTGCCAAAAGCCTGCCCTTCCTTCCAGGTCTCTCCTGATGTTTACCATGGAAAACTGCTTCTACCTGCTCATCTCCCAGGCAATGCGGTACCTTAGGGACCCGGCTGTGCACCCCCGGGACAAGCAGCGGATGAAGCAGGAGCTCAGCTCAGAGTTGGTATGGATGGATAGAGGGCTCTGATTGGAGGGGTCTGGACTAGCAGGGCGAGAGCTCCATGGGGTCCTGCCTGGCCAGCTCCTGAGGGGTGGGGACGGTGACCCAGAGGTGCTAGGTCTCATTGAGCTGCCTTTTTCTTGCAGAGCACACTGCTCTCCAGCCTCTCGCGCTATTTCCGCCGGGGAGCCCCCAGCTCCCCTGCTGCTGGCGTCCTCCCCTTACCACAGGCCAAGTCCAGCTCTCTCTCCAAAGCCAGCCCCGAGAGCCAGGAGCCTCTAATCCAGCTGGTGCAGGCCTTTGTCCGTCACGTGCAAAGATAGAGCAGTGGCATGCTGCGCACCTACCACTCTCCAGCACCGTGGCCCTGGACAGTGGGGGTGCCGTGACTGCCGAGGCCAGTCTGCGACAGAGGACAGATCCTGTCACCCTCTCCCCAGAGTGGCCACAACTCCTACCACCCGTCTGCTGACATTATTTTTGTAACAGATTAAGAGGTCAACAGCAGGGGCGGGGAGCCAAGAGCCCCTTGTGCTTAGGTCCTCACATTCAAAATGCCCCAGAGAGGTGAATTCCTATCCGAGCATTCCCCACAGCACTTGGCCGGCCCAGGGGAGAGGTGGGAGCTAGTGTGTGACAGTCCAGGAGAGAGGCTCTAGGCACGGGTTTGAAAATCTGTTTTCCATGATCTGTACTTGCAGTTTTTTGGTAATACTGTGGTCTATTTATACAAATATTAAAATACTGTTTATAGACAACTGTGTCATATGTAACTTCAAGGCCTGGGAATGACAAGCCGACTCTCCCAACCTTGAACGGTAGTCTCCCTTGGTCAGCGACCCAGGCAGTGGCTTGGGAAGGCAGGATACTTATCGTGGTTGACTCATCAGCACCCCTCTGTTAATGTCCTCAGGCAGAGGGGCATGCTGGGTGGACACTGTCATATGTTCCTTTTGTTGTCCTGTCCCTGACCACCCTCTTCCATCTGCCCAGCTGGCTGAGTTCTGTGGGTGTGGCCTTTCTTGAAGCTCTGCGGCTCCTACTTACAGCTCTACCCCTGCCTTTCCCGTCCCCCTCTCCAGAAGCCCAGCAGCTGTTGGCCGCCTTAGGACTGAAGTCAGAGTGTGAGGCCCCACTAAGGGCCATCGAGAGGTTTCTAGAGTCAGGCTGACCTGGGCTCGAGTTTCTGCTCGGCCACTTGGCGGTTATCCCTTGAGAAGGTGACTGTCTTATCTTTCCTCATCTGTAAAATGTGGTCACCGAGGACAGAACATGTGGGCCATGTGCTGGGCTCAGTGTCTGACCAGCAGAACGTGCTGACAGCCACCAGTGACTGGAGCTTAAACCATCAGGCGGGTTCTACAGTCCACTCCACAATCCAAATTTAGGAACGTTTTTCTTAGGAATAAAATGTTTCTTGTGCGGCTTCATGTCTGGGAACAGCAGTGCCCGCTGAGGCACAGGCCCCATGTGAGGAAGGCAGGCTGCGCTTCCCACTGCACTAGTGTCTTGTGGGGCCAGCTGCAGGGCACCCTGCTCACTCCGTAGGTCACTCCACCCAGAAAGAGTGGAGCGAAGCAGAAGTCTTCCCTTCCCTGGCCCTCCTGCAGGGCCGGCCCCTGACAGGAGCCCAGGCAACTCACGCATGAGGAGGGTTTATTATTCGTCATTGGCTAGAGAGCAAGCGACAGGCAGAAGTAGAAATACCAGTTAAAAAGTGAGTGTGGAGAGGTGAAGGCTGCAGCCACCAGACTTGGCTTGAGCGGTGAGGGGTGGGAGGGGCAGGGTAGCACCGGAAGATGCTGCTCCAGGCTCAACCCTGGCACCTGCCAGGCTCTCCCCTCCCTGCCAGAGCCCTGCCTGTCGCTACTTTCCCCTTTGCTGCTTTTGGCAACTAAACGGCAGGGGTTCTCTTCTTGCCAAGGGTGCCCCAGGGCTTCCTAGGTCCATCTGTGGCTGCCCCCACCCTGGCCTGGGTGCCACGTGCAGCTGCTGCAGGCAGCCCCTCCCTCCTTAGTAGGAGCCAGGAGGGTTGGGGTGCTCAGGAGGTGCAGGCAAGGTTGGGGGCTCCAGAACCACAGGGTAGAAGCAGGGCCAGGGGAGGGCTGGGGCCATTCAGCCTCTTGGGCTCCTCACAGCCGATAACTGGGGCACAGGCAGAATGGGGTGTATTAGTCTCCCCATCCCGAGCAGCTGCATCGCCAGCAGACAAGGTAAGTGGCAGGGCTATATCTGTCCTCTTCTGCCCAGGCCAGAATGGGCAGGGGCCCAGGAGGGGCCCTGCCTAGCTGAGCAGTTCCAAGTAGGTGACAGGGACCTTGCCCTTCTTGTTGCCTCTCTCGCCAATGAGCCAGTCAGGGTCCATGCCAGGCAGGCTGTAGACGGTGATGAGCTGCAGAGGGATGGCAGAAAGGGAAGGTCATGCCCTGGCCAAGGGCAGAGCTGGCCCCAGGTCTAAGTGGGACAGAGCGGCTACCTCCCATGATGAGGGTGTCTACGCCTTCAGTGGCAGGTGGTCACCACCTCGCCCAGTCTGCTGAGAGCTGGCAGAGTAAGGATTGCTTCTGCAGAGCTAGAACCCCCTCGTAACCTCCTGGCCCCCACACTGCCCCCCCACCCAGCATCCCCCAACATCCCATGCACCCAGTCCTGGTTCCCTGGTGGCTCCCCATCCAGCCTGCTCCTGCCCCCCATGTGGCACCAGGCCCACCTCATCAGCCAGCAGGGCCAGCTCACTGCTGTCAGCAGCCTCGTAGTCGTAGAGCACCCGGGCCTTGCGGGTCCCGCTGGCAGGGGGGGCCACCTCCTCCAGGCAGAGGGAAGCCTCCCCTGGAGGGGCCAGGCTGGCTACAGAGGGCACCACAGGCATCGTGGCTGCGGTGGTAGTAGGTGAGGTGCTGCTCAGGGGCGGGGAGGCGGGCTCTGTGGTGCCCACAAAGGTGCCTGGGAATCTGGAGAGAAGAGAGCACTTCAACAGGCAGGAGTCGTGCCCCTGAGGGAGTCCCACAGGCCTCCCCAGACACCCCAAAGGCAAGGGCCCCTCCCCAGTCCCAGATGCCCTTGTTACTCACATGGCACCCTGGGAGCTGGCAGCACAAAGGGAAGAGCAAAGCAAGAGTGAGATGGTCCCACCCCCAACCTCCACACCCCAAGCATTCTCTAGAAACTACTCTCAGAGCTCCAGGGACTCACTGGCCACCAAGGCCTGCCATCTCACCCTCATACACAAGGGGCGCCCAGGCCCAGAGCAGAGCCCTCCGGTCAGGCTGTGTGTAGAGGCCCTCCGTTCCCAGGGAGAAGGCCCTTGCCCGGAGGAGCTCCCACTGCCCGCTGCGTCTGGGAACTGCGGGACCCCAGTGCCCGCCCCTACCTGCCCAGCTGCTTCTGCAAGTCCAGCATGTGGCGGTAGCACTGCGCGTAGTACGTTGTCTGAGACTTGACGAACTCGTGCAGGCAGCGAAGATGGTTCACCTGTGGGGAAGAGGCCAGTGCTGAGTTCCAACCTCCTGCCCTGGGGGGTGAGCAGAGCCTCGGGACAAAAAATTCCATCTCTACCCTAGTCCTCTGCCAGACCCCGGCCCAGCATTCCCATGTGTTCTGTCCCAGCCGCCTGCTCCGCTGGGGGCAGAGAGAGATACCCAACCCTGTGGGACCTGCTCTGTGAAAGCCCCTCTGGTCATGCTGAAAGCCACCCTCAGGGACAGCACTGCCCTGCTCACCTCCTGAGATTCAGGTTCCCTCCTACCTGTGGATGGGTTTTACCGGGGGGCCCGAGGGCAGGACTCACGTGAGTGCTACTGATGCCCTCCAGCAGGAGACGGGTCACTTCTGCCTGCCGGTCAAACTCTGTCTGGGCCACTCGAAGCTCCTGCTCGGCCTGGACAAAGCAGGGCAGAAGTGAGTGCCCCCGCTGCCTGCCCAGCTTCCCTCCCCTCAGCCTTCCCCTGTGCCCTGAAGAGCAGCCCGTCACTTCCCTGGGGGATGCAGAGAGACATCTGGCTCTACCAGACTTCACACCTGGAGCCCTGACCCCTGCAGAAGCTAGAGCCCCATTCAGGAACCCCAAGGGCAGGTGCAGTGACACCTTCCCTCCACCACCCATCGGGAAAATCCACCTAGCAAATGCCTCCCGAGGGCTACTACCCGCAGAGGGAAAGCAGTCGCCCCTCACCCCAACAGGAGCCCAGTGGGTGTGGGGCAGAGCCCTGCCAGGAGGTATGCCTGGGCCCGCCCCCAGCCCCTCAGGCCTCCACTCACCTTGTCCACCTCATCATTCCAGAGCTGCGGAGACCACAACAGGATCAGTCAGCGGGGGAGGGGAGGTGGGCACCGGTCAGCGGGGGAGGGGAGGACAGCTAGACCCCAGAGCCTGCGCCCTGCCCCAGCTCTCGGAGGCCCTAGTCTGCCCATCCTGCCCCTCCACCCTCGCCCAACCAGGCGCTGAGGCTAGGGTGAGGCCCAGTGTGAGAGCAGAGTGCCACATGCAGGGAGGGGGACAGCCAGCCGGGAAGTCCTGCCTGTGTTTCTCCTACAGTGTCAGCCCCAGTCTCTGAGTGGGATCTCAAGAGAGACCGAGTGTCCCCCACCCCACCCTGACTCCTGGCTAAGGCTAGTGGGCTGGGAGGCAGGGCGGTGTGACTCTGGGACAGTCACTGAACCTTTCTGTCCTCTGGCAGAGAAAGGCAGCCTCGTGCCTGAGTCACACCGGGGCTCAGTGGCAAAAGAAAAAAACAGGGCAGTCTCCACCCTCCAGGATGTTTCTCCTTCCATGCAGCCCAGCGAGGAGGGCAGGAAGAGTTATCCAAGGTCTAAAAAGAAAGATTCCCCCCTCCCCACCACGACTTAGGAGGCCCATTGCTCCGGCCCACTTCCGGAGATCCACTCTAAGACAATAACCTGGAATGTGGACCGTGAACCCAGGCCAGCCCACGTGGACAGTCCCTGTGGACAGCCCACGTGGACCCCAGTGCTGCTTGGGAAGCCCACAGCAGAAGCAGCCTCTGTCTGCGCAGCACTGGAGGCCCGCGACGGGCCGCAAGAGCACACGGGGCTGGCGCCTCGAGGGACAGTTACCCAGCCACGGAACAACTGTACCGTGACACTTGGCAGCATGCTCATGATGGGCAAGGGCCAGAGGGTCTCCCTCTCAGGGAGATGGAAGGGACAGAAGGGGCAGAAAGGGCACAGCAGTGGTTGCGACAGGCATGAGGGAGAGGTGCGACTGGCCTAGTTCCCAAACTAAACGGCAAATACCCAACATCTCTACAAAGCCGTAAAAACAACAGACGTCAAGACATACGAAGACTTCCTGGCCCATCCCCTGCCCGCCTCCCCAGGACAGCCCCTGCTCCCCAGCTTCTGGCCTTGGCACAGCCGCGGGGCCCTCTGCCCTCCCAACCCCTCTCCTCTGCCTCACGCACCTAGCAGATGTCTCTGCCACCTGTCTTTTAAGGGTCTGTGAACTCCTGTGCCCTCAGGGCCCACCCAGGGCCTGGCATTCAGGGGTGGTGAGGGGGTGGGGTAGGGACAGCAAGACTCTCAGGGCCCCTGGAGAGGGGACAGCTGCTGTCCTAAGTCCACTGCGTTCCTCAGTTTAGCTTGCCGAGCCACCATCACCAGCATTTTGCAGGGAGAAGCAAGTCCCACCACACGGTCACAGGGCAGGGAGCCAGGCCGGCGGAGAGGTGGGGGCCAGCTGCGTGTGCAGCACCCCTGCCTTACCGCCCGCTCCAGCTCCAGAGCACTTGGGGCCAGTGGCGCAGGGGTGGGGGAGGCGGCCCGGGGTGGGGGTGGGGCGCTTACCGCGGAGGCGCTGGCGGAGAGAATGTAATTACGAGGTCTAGTCTCCTGAAAGTCAGGCACCGTCTGGCGGGGAACAGAGTTCATGGGGGAGGGGGTCACCCTGGGCCAGGGCCAGGGCCAGGGCCAGGAGGCTGCCCCAGAGTCTCCCACAAGGAGATGTCAGGAGGCCCCGGCCCGAGGGACAGGAGGACACAGACAAATACAACACGAAACCCCTTCTCCCGACTCCTACCGCCTGGAGATGAGGAGAGTCCAGACAAAGACCAAGTGGGTAGACGCCAGAGGGTGGCCCGTGAGAGCAGATGTCACAAGGAGACAGCCCATGGCTGCTGTCACAGCCCTTGCTTCTGGGCAAGCCACAGACTGGGCCCCGCCCTGCCCCTTCCTCCCTGGACCAGTCGCACTCAGATGCCCCAGTCAGCCCCACAGTCCCCCAAACAAAGCCCATCCTGTCCCCACCATAGCTTTCTCCATCCCAGAACCCCCGCACACCACATCTCTCGCTCCTGCTTCGAGGGCCAGGCCCCTCCCCCACAATGACGGTGGACAGATGGATGCATGGACGGACAGAGTGACAGGCTGTCAACATTTGCAAAAAGCTGACTCACAGGCTCCAACGCCTGGCATCCCCCCTAAACCAGAGGCTCCGCATGGTAGAGGCTCTGGTGGGGAGACCAGCTGCTTGCAAAATGCCCCAGGGACGCGGGCCGGCCACAACACTGTGGGCCCACGGGCGCGACGGGCAAACCAGAAGCAGCACAGCACGTGGACAGGTATACTCACATCTCCCTCACACTGAGCCAAGTTACCCAAAGCAGAACAGAAAGGAACAAAAACAAAGAGTTAGTGAGTCCACAGTGCAGGCGGGAGCAGGCCCCCCAGGCCCCGGCGGGAGGAGGGAAGGCTGGGTGGGCAGGCAGATGACGCGCACGGCCCACCCTCTGAAAAAGTCCTGGCGGGGGGAGGGGTGTGTGTGTGTGTGTGTGTGTGTGTGTGTGTGTGTGTGTGTTGGGAGGCTTGAGTCCTCTGGGATGCTGTTCCTGGTACTGCCAGGTCCTAGCTCTGGAGAGGGTAGCCTGGCCCAACCCTAAGGCACGAGGATGTCCGGGCCCAGCAAGCGAAGAAGTCACACCACCGCAGTGACTACACAAAGGCTCCCTGGCCTGGCTGATGGAGGAAGAGTTTGTTCTGGCCCAGTTACTCGAGAAAGGTTGTCCAGCCCTGAGTGACGGGGGAGACTGTCCTGTCTAGGTGACTTAGAAGAGGCCATGCCAATAGCCAGAGGACACCCTAGCCAACCCCAACCAGCTGAGCCCTACCCTCCAGTCTAGACCCCACACACCTGAGTGAGCTGAGACTGCCCATGGCTCTTGCCAGAGGTAGTGCAGGCCGAGTCGTGGCCCTGGGGCTCTGGGGCCACACTGTGGGAGCGGGATGCAAGGAAGGTTTGGGGCCAGGGCTGTCACGGGCAGCTCGGAGCTGGGCTCAGTGCCTGAGCAGGCATGGGTGGCAGTCTCCCTAGCATGCTGTGGGCCTGGGAGTCCTTTCTACAGGGCGTGAGGTGGCCTTTAGGCCCCTGTACACCCCAGGCAGCCTGGCATGCCAGGTGTAGGCTCACCCTCAGGCCCAGCTCCCTGAATCCGGCCTCGCCCTGGTCAAATCATCCCTTGCTGTGTCCCACTGGCCTGGCCAGGCTGAACGGGCCTCGATGAACTGGCAGAGAAGGGGGAGCTGGGACGGCCCAGGCCCCATCCAGTCTCACGGGGCTGTGTGACAGGGCCCTTCAGACTTGCCCCTCAGCGGGTGGGCAGTCCTGTTCCGGGCTTCTCCACACCACCGCGGGTGTGCCTGAGCACAGGGCACCCCAGGCCCAGCGTTCAAGCAGCAGGTGGGGGCGTTAGTGAGAGGAGCCACGGCGAGGCAGAGCCAGGGACAGAGCTGAGCATCCAGAGGGGCAGGGCAGGGGCATGCGAGAGACTCCAGCTGGCTGTCTGGGGGCCTGGGGGGTACCCTACACCCAGGTGGGGGTGCTGCTGATCCACCCACCCCATAAATGTCTGCCCTGGGACCCAGAGTTCTGGGGCCACCAGGGTTCCCTGCGGGGTGGGGGCAGAGAGGCATGCCCTCAAGTGGCCAGGCCAGCCCCGCACCCCCCAGCCATGCCTCTCCAGCCGGGGAGACGGAAGAGAGGTCATGCCAAATACCAGGTCCCTTCACATCCCCTGCCCCTTGGCTCCAACCAGAGCCTGGGGCCAGGCGGCCAGCGGGGACACCTACCGTGGCTTTGGCTTCTGCGGCCTTGGCCCTCTTCAGCCGTGCTTTGCAGGCATCCAAGTCCAAACGCCGGTTTTGCAGGAGCCGCCTTTCCTTCTGCAGGGTGGGGCAGGGGACGCAGTGAGACCCTGGCGAGCCCTGGGAGACCCTCAGCTGTGGCAAGACTGGCCCATGGGGATTTCTGGTCAAGACAGGGAAACTGAGGCCCAGAGACAGGCGGTCACTCCAGTCACCAGTCCACAGGAGCCACCTCTGGAAAGGCTCCAGGAGTTCTGGGTCCCCAGCATGGGCGGAGAGCTGGGGACCTTAGAGGAGAGTGCTCAAAGGATCTGAGGAGGGGGCTGTCATGGTTGCCAGGAGGCAGAGCTGTCCCAGGTCCCTCACCGATATCGTCTTCCAGTCCCCTTCCAGGAAGTTTCGCAGGGGAGTGAGGAAGCTGACGGAGGCCGTGTGGATGAAATCCCTTTCTGCGGCTCCCAGGCGCTTTTCAGCTTCTGACACCTTGATCAGTGTCTTCCCTGAAAAAGCAGAGTTGAAGGGTGAGGAAGAGGGTCGGGCTCAGGCTGCTCTGACCCACAGGCAATAGGGAGAGCTCAGGAGAAGACGTGCTGAGGACAGAGCAGGGGCGTTCAGTGCTGATGGTGTGTCTGGCAACAGCGAAAGCAACCTACGTAGCCATCAACCAGGGACTAACAAAGAAACAGCGAGGCAGCCAGACTATGAAACACTGTGTAGCCATTAAAAAGACTGGGGCGTTAGGCAGGTCGCAGTGGCTCACGCCTGTAATCCAAGCACTTTGGGAGGCTGAGGCAGGAGGACTGCTTGAGGCCAGGAGTTCAAGACCAGCTTGGGCAACATAGCAAGACCCTGTCTCTACAAAAAATAAAAAGGTTAGCCGGGCGTGGTGGCATGTGCCTGTAGTCCCAACTACTTGGGAGGTTGAGGCAGAAGGATGCCTGAGCCCAAGAGTTTGAGGACACCTTGGGCAACAGAGCAAGACCGTCTCTGAAAAAAATAAAGAAAAAAAGATTGGGGTGGGGGATTGGACTTCCAGAATGACAGAGAAGCAGCAGCTCAACAAATCATCTCTCTAAAAAGTAATAATAAAACTGGACACGCCTGTCAAAAACATCCCTTTCCAGACTCTGGAAATCGACCAAAGGCAAAAAAACAAACTGAGAAGTATTTTTCAAGACAAATTACGGGATCATGGTAAGAACAATGGGAGTGGCATTTTAGCTTGGGGGAGCTCCCACCTCCTCCTGTTCTGCGGTTCTGTAGCTCTACCAGGCGGGGCAGGCTGTGAGGCCGGCAGTTCTGCTGCTGGAGAGAGCTGACTTGATTTGGAGCCAAAGCACAGAAAAACCCAGGGGACAACGTTGGAAACAACAGTAATTTCAATGGCAAATAATACGGAAAGGCCAATATTGCAGCTAACCTGAAGCTGGAATACTGGTCAGAACATGTAACACACCTGCCAGAACAGGTGACCCAGGAAACAGAGTGGGCCTTGGTAAGCTCCCAGACACTGCTGGTGGTCTAGAAGGCTGTGCATCCGTGCAGCATGCTCAGGAGAGACTGCAGAGAACCCCAGCTATCTGTTTACACTGGGCTGAGCAGGAAGCTTTGTACACTCACAGAGTTAAAGCTGGGGCAGACTTACAAGCTGCCTGAACGTGGAATGTGTTCCCCAACTCACTGCACAAATTTACTGGTAAAGCTTTAATGGCTCAAAATGTTTAAGCACAACCTCTGACCAACAATTGGCTGATCACTAACATATGCTCATCCAGGAGCAACCCCTAGGTTGCTAAACTTAAGGTAAGCTTAAATATAAAAAGAATAATTTAAAAAGGGGGTGGGGGGAGGGGGGGCGAAGGCAGAGACTTCAGTGGCTGCACACTGCAGAGGACAGAGACTCTAAACAATTAGCTCAGGCAAGTCTCTAAACAAACAGCAATAACAGCCCTTGGAGGGATCGGAATACAGAGTTGCTACAATATATTACCTAAAATATCCAGATTTTAACAAAAAAATTATGAGACATACAAAGAAGTAGAAAATTGTGGTCCATACACAGGAAAAAAGCAATCAATAAACACTGTCTCTGAGGAGGTACAGATGTTACATTTAGCAGACAAAGGATTTCTAAGCAGCTATTACAAGTATGTTCAAAAAACTAATAGAAACCATGTTGAAAGAATTAAAGGAAAGTATGATGGCAATGACTCATCAAATAAAAAATATCAATAAAGTGATAAAAAATATAAAAAAGAATCAAATGAAAATTCTGGAGTTGAAAAGTATGATAACTGAAATGAAAAATTCACTAGAAGGGCTCAACAGCAAATTTGAACTGGTAGAAGGAAAAATCAGCAACCCTGAAGATAGATCAACAGAGAGTACCCAATGTGAAAAACAGAAAGGAAAAAAGCAGGAAGAAAAAAATGATGAAAGAAAAATGAACAGTCTCAGAGACCTATGGGACACTATCAAGTGAACCAACATATTGAGTAATAAGAGTCCCAAAAGGAAAGAAAATAAGGAAGAAAAAATATTTAAAGAAATAATAGCTAAAAATATCCTAAATTTGATGAAAGCCATTAATCTATATATCCAAGAAACTCCAAGTAGGATAAACACAAGGAGATCCACAGCAAGGACATCATAGTCAAACTGCTGAAAGTGGCAGGAGAAAAATAATTCTTTACATACAAGAGAGCCACAATAAGATTAACGGTTGGAATTCTCATCAGAAACACTGGAGGCCAGACAGCAGTGAGACGATATGTTCAAAGTGAAGGGGGAAAAAAAAAGTCTCATCCAAGAATTCTATATACATCAAAACAATCCTCCAAAAGTGAAGGCAAAATAAAGACATTCCCAGATAAACAAAGACTGAAAGAATCCATTGACAGCAGACCTGCCATACAAGAAATACTGCAGGTTCAAAGGAAACACCAAAAGGTAATCTGAATCCACGTAAAGAAATAAAGAGTATCAGTAAAGGTAATTACATAGGCAAATATAAAATATATTTTTTCTCCTTTCTTCTCCTAACTGATTTAATTATATAAAACAACAATTACAAAACTACTGTTGGGCTTATAACATATAGAGATGTAACATATATGACAACAATAGCACAAAGAAAGGGGGAGGGAATGGAAGTTATATTGGAGCAAAGTTTCTATATTTTCCTGGAATTAATATTACTCAGAAGTAGACTGTGATAAGTTAAAATGCATATTGTAACCCTTAGAATAAGCACTAAGAAAACTTTTTAAAGTTAAAAAAATCAGGGCCGGGCGAGGTGGCTCACGCCTGTAATCCTAGCACTCTGGGAGGCCGAGGCAGGCGGATTGTTTGAGCTCAGGAGTTTGAGACCAGCCTGAGCAAGAGCGAGACCCC